TCCGCTTGAAACCGACTGGGCAAACAAATTGATATCTGCAGTGATAAGTCCATAAAAATACAGTATTTCAAAAATAAGTTTTCTTTCTCCAATCCCCATTTCTCTCTCTATATCTTTGTCTCTTCGGTGCAACCAGATTAGACTTGCCAAGAAATCAAATTGGATCCTACGCTCCTTCATTTGAATCAGTAATCACGCTAGGAATGTTTCCAACCAGGTCCTAAGTCTGAAGGTGAACGAGGTGTGAAGCTCCTCCACACAAGTTTGTAAAGATAATTGATGCTATATCGTGCATATGCATGATGAAAACGAGCTCTGGTGACCTCCTGGAGCGCACACAGTTTTTTTAATTCTGGTTGTGTTGTCGCACAGTTCAGTCTTAGTTTGAGCGACAGAGATTATCGCACTGATGTTGAGATCTAGCAATGTTGAAGCAACTGTACAGTGCTCCCCAGCTTTTCATTTTAAGTTTCCTTTGTTCTGCACACGATGAGATTGTTCATACACTCCCTGAGAGAAACATTTATAGTCCATTATGGACGAACTGATGATATTGCTGCGGTAAGCGAAAAATGGACCGCGGTCGCAGACTTGTAGCGGAAGGAACCAACATTACCTCGTGCTGTTGAGGACTGAAGTACGATCGATGCTTGCATTTTGGTCCATCTGTAAAAGTGGGAGAGTACAGACCGGGTAGAAAAAGTTAGGTATGGATATGTGGAACCTATGATTGATGTTGATGATGACAATGGAGAATGCGAAATGTTGCTTATGGCCCAACGAGATGCCATAGACAATTTCATTGTTAAATACTATAGATAAACTAAACTAAGATACTTCAATGATTACAAATAAACCATCTAAATTCTAAACTCCAACTTCCTTCGCAATTATGTGTTTCCTTGCACCTGTGTAGTCTATTGGAAATTGTGCTGTTTTTATTCAGTATCAAAAACAACTTTGTTCACCTGTGTTCTCAAACACAAGGAGTATTTTCGTGTAGTATTTAAACAAGACGTTTTCATAGCGTGTGTGCAATTTATTAAAAAGTGATTTTCATGCCTAGAATATTCTGAACATGAGGTTTTGAAAGGTATAGCTTATTTGTGACAATTTGATTTTAGACCGAAATAAACAACTTACGTTCAACTCACAGTCGTCTGTGGGTATTGATGTAGGATAAATTATATTGATTTGAGCTGACTCTCTTCCAGGTTATGTATTCGCGCACAACCCCCAGTTCCTTCAGCGAACCACGTACTCTTGTCAGAACGTATCATTGCTACATATCAATCAGTTCGTCCGGACCCCTCACATGGAAGGCGTGTGCGTGTGTTACTTTTAGGCTAAGCAGCTCACACACACACCTTCCATGCGAGGGATTCGGATAGTTCCAATGGCGCGATTGATATGTATTGCTGATGAACTGTAACCAGAGTGAAACTCGAGGCCAATGTTTTTCGGGAATATGGTTTTCTAGATACTGGTGTTTTTGCAAACCTCAATGAATAGGTACAGTTGATTTTGACAACCCGTGGTGAGCCAATGCGGATTCCCGAATTGGGTGCGTAAACGCAAAGGAAAAATGACTACTTCAGAGTGCTTTGGGATGGGTAATAATCGGTGCAAAATCAAAACATGAAGAAATTCTTCTTCAACTGATCGTGTTACACAGTTATTCCATTCACATTTCGGATGGTGNTGGTCAAGCAGTCTGGAGCATTTTCTGCAGCGACTCGGAAATCATGTGTTGGAATTGTACCGCCGCCGTCTAACTTTCTCAAAGCTTTTGTCCCCAGGCAACATTTGATCGGTCCCAGTCTACTTACTAAAAGTTGATCGTCAAATTGCATATTCAATAAGCTTGTGTTTGGTAAATGTGTGTACATTTTTTTCATTGGTTGTCAATAAACATTGCACGAATCTATCGCATTGGTTCGATGAATTGTGTGTGTGTGTGTGTGTGTGTGTGTGTGTGTGTGTGCAGAATGCCGGTACGAAAAATCTGGAGACGAATAAGTAACTTTGGTCCGGAGTGGATGAGAGTCAGTAGAGAAGATTTTATTGAAATATTCCTGGGTGTTTCCTGTGAATTGTAACTAGAGAAACTTGAGTTTGAGAGGAAAAATTGCCACATAAGAGATGTCATCTCTTCACCTGTTTGCACGGCCTTGTTACTAAATAAGCGAGACATGTTATATCTCCCTTAAGACGGTGTAAATGCGATGAACAAACATGTTTGTGGGTGCCCAAACTGATGATGGCAGCGGTTTACACACCGTTTCATCAAAATGACTAAACACACCACAAACCTAAATGGTGATCAGACATGCTTATGAAACCACGCTGGCAAAAACCAAACATTTCCCATTCGGATTATAGGGCTAGATCATTTGTACTATTTCGTAAAAAAATTAACAATAATGTTCTATTTACAATGGTGGAACAGGACAGCAAAACCAGAATGACTGCGAACTGTGACCGGATCATGTTGGTGCTGTTTGAAGACGAGAACTGGTGGCTTTGGAATAGCGCAATTGTGCATTGTTCACTAAGGCGATAACTGTGCTTCATCTAGAACGAAAATTATATTGCCTAACGAGGTTATGTGGGAAACTTATTGGAATCGTTCACACGTGAGCGCGCGAGAGAGATAGAGGGAACGAACTCTGTTCCGGTTCATTCGAATGAATATTATTGTGAAGACCGAATTCCAACCGCGACGCTATGCACAGTAATTTAGGGCCTGTAACCCAACACGGAAAATCAGAGCGCACAAGAGAGCGTGCTGATCGGAATCGGGTTAATGATTTAATGAATGATCGTGAGAGTACATCAATCGATTAAACGATGACCGACAAGTAGGTCAAGTTGGCGCATGGACAAAACGGATTTGAGGAGTATTAGTCAGTGTCTGTCGTGAACAGCTGTGTCACGTGATTGGACGATCAATGGGGACTGGTAGACGAATGCGTACGTAGCAAATGCAATAGAACATTGGTCACAAATCGGAGTCCTGGTTATACCTCTGTTATTTCGGAGGCATTAGTAGATTAGAAAATTCAAATTTCGTACAGTTATGCTACATCCACACTGACAGTTCAGATAAACCCTCCCTTACAAACCTTCCAGTTTTCCATAGAAGACACAAACCGAAAACTTCTGTCTTTGGATAGTAAAATAACTAGGCATTACCCAACTGAGTTGACATTAGGCATTGTCATTCATCTTCTCATTCTCAGGCTATTGCTGAAAACCAATGATCCACAATCACCAGAAATGCCTTAGCATCGATACAAACATGTCGTTTACTTTTCAACTTACGACGAATCACCACAGTTGCACGTCGATTTGCGTCCAGCATCGTGCCCGTCGGGGATTTCAATTCCACATAGAATACTTGTTTTCGATGCCCAGAGTACTCGATCGGATGGAGTCGAACGAGAATCGTTTGACGCGTTTCACCTGAAACGGAAGGACAGGTTGGTAGAGCATTTATCATGAATGTAAAATCGATATCATGTTTTATTATCGGTGCAAACATCTATCTTGAAAATTTTCTAATTAGCATGTGATTGATATCTGATAGGTGAAGCACATTTGGGCTCCTTTTCTATTACGCATGCACTTTTTGTGTGCTGATCAGCAGGCGGGGGCGAGGGATGGACCCCATGGTCACGAAGACCTGCTCTCTTCAGCAGTGGAAACCGGTAACATAAGTCACGGGACTTGGAGCGGCGAACCACCAGAATGGGCGTGGTGAACCGAACGACAGCAAAGTTGCTTACCACCAAAGTTGGGTGGTGGCGACGACGGGGCTCGGACCTTAGGAACCAAAGCTCACTGGTGACAGCGACTAAGGCATTGCATTGCCACCACCCTGGTAGACTCTCGTGTCCCACAGGACATACTTCCACTTCTTCGTTTCTGCTATTTACCCAACTCTCACCTGTGGCTTCAAGACGCTAAAGCAGACAGGAACTTCACCCCGGTCAGTTGCACAACGGGGAGACCTAATTATGTCGAGAGTGACCATGGCTCCAAAACGTTGGCGAGAAAGCACACAGCATGCGAATGTAGCTACTCCTTGGTGGGCAGCCAAAACTAATCACCTGATTAAAAAGGTTTTCGACGAAATTTAATAAACCAGTAGGGTAATATGCATCCTTGGACTTGATCCACATCTATTGAGTGACATCGGTGTCCAAACGCTAACACAATACTGTACCACGATGCACACTTGGTGGATAAAAGACGGAAGACGAGCCCACGAAAATCCGGGAGACATTGGGGATGTCGCTTATACCAAACTCCTATTCAATATCGGGCTCAGTGTGCAACTGGCTTACTCTTCCCATGGAACTAACCCTAATACACTAAAAGTAAGCTCCCTAGTTGAGCTGACCAATTCCTGATGTAATTTTACGTATATCTATATCAAACGAATTGAGTTATTGGATCAAATAAATTATTAAGGCACTCAAGGAAGTCATTGTAATAGATTTTTACCAGAATTTAGGCACCATCTATTTGAGTTACATGACTTTGAACTGAAAATATTAAATGTTAATGAAAGTTCCCGGGTGATCGAAAGGGTTTCTGTCGTCCGATTCAGTGTCATGTATATAAATTCCTATTGAAGGTATTATATATTTCATTAATGAACGAATCTAGGATTGATTTTCCAGTTTCCTGATCTCGCGGTTCAGTCCGTTTACCGTTCGCCAGGCCGAGGTCTGTGAAATTATTTCGTCGTAGCCAAAATAAAAATAAAAATCACAATTAGTGTATGATAAGATCTTATTTTGGGTCAGAAATCCCATATGGAATATCGTGTTGAGCTTTGAAGATGCGTGAACAAAATTACTTATCCTTTTTGAGAATAGGTTGTCAGCAATGAAATCTCGCTCCATTCAGTCCATTTTTCATTCACCTCAATCCCCTTTTCGGTGTGAATGTGAATGATTTTAACGCCAGTAAACAGACTGAACATTCCGTCATTTTTGCCACCACCTTTTATTTATTCCATCACCTCTTATATATATATATATATATATATATATATGATTTGAAAACCATTATTTATTTTTCGAGCTTATAAAATGCCGTAGCGTTCATTGGTCAACGATATTCATTAGAAGTCTACACCTGGATATCCTCGGGTTAAGCAGAGCTGAATGCTACCAGGCGCGTCCCCGGGTTGTGGATAGGAGGATATCTTCACTGAAGAAGATTAACTTTGAATACGTTGTGGCATACCGCAATAAACAAGCACTCGCGAACAAACAGCAGCGGCACTACCATGGTGTGGTGGGTTTCAGGCTGGTCATCTGTCTCCTGTTTAAAAGGCGCATAAACCCAATGACGGTATCGTGACATAGGTCGATGTGGCTGACCTTTTAAAACTAAAGTGATTGACCCCCTCACTTCCGAGGTCAGGGCTTACTTCATGCTGCCTTGCAGTTAGCACTTGGTTGTGCAAAGGCTAGAGGCGCAACCTCAAAATAAATAAAAAAGTGCCGAGTGACGCTGAGTACGTCTCGCATACCAAACTCCCAAGTAACATCATGATCATGTCTTGTACGGTGGCATTCAGAGACATTCATGGAGCCGGTTTATCCCTTCCAGGGAGCCAACCGTAGTAAAGCAAGTAAGTTATTTCACGTTCCACATTCTACAGACAATATTCATAATAATAATAATAATACTTATAATTTGAGACAAGCAGCCACCTAATCATCTTTCCAATTTGCATTGAAATCGATCGCCGAGCACATTAGAATGGAAGCGGCAGTTGTTTTACACCTTGTTGGGTGGCGAATAGCGGAAGGTACAAAGTCACGAAGACCTGCTATTTCCTTACGATAAAAGATACTAAAGCAATGAACGCAGTTGTGCACCCTCATCAAAGTTGAGTGATGGTGGTGGTACTAGGGTTTGAATCTCACAAATTAGCTCGTAGCACATTCGTAACATTGACTCGTGCTGCTGAACCGAAACAAAATTCACCGTCCTCGACTTCAGATGATGTGTTGATACATCCCAGCATACGACAATTGGCAAACGGATAGGATTTCCAACTATGAGGAGGAGTATGACAAGTCTTGTGCGTCTCAATTGGATTTTCTGCTCGGATGTCTCCTATTTGGTGTATTGAAGATGATATTTTCGTAAAAAATTTAAAATAAGTAAGAAACATAATAAGCTTAGTAAAATAATTAGCAAAAGTTATTCAGGCAATCATTTAATCCACAGAGAGGGAGAGAGAAAAACATGCAAATAGCAGCAGCTTTTTTCTGAAGCAGATAAAAGATAGAAGATCAAAAAGTGATCACACTGACCTGGTTGAAAAGTGAGCAGCTTTTGTGAGTGAAGACTGAAATCTCGACCTTCTACTGCTGTATCAGTGGTTAAACCAACATATGCGTCCACGCTAGTAGCTTTCAAAGCTGCTGGAGACCCGTCTCGACGTACGGTCAAATGAAGTAGTCCACGTTCAGCACAAACGCGGAAAACTCGTCGGGTAAACCCAATAGTGGTCCATTCCAGTGTTAGTCTGAAAGTATCACGAAACAGACAGGTAACCGGTAAAGTAGGCATTTCTGAACTACAGTGAATAGGTTTTTGAAGACTAAAAAATGGTTTGATCTTTGCTTAGTAGAAAGTTAACTGATTTGAAAATGACATTTGGGTTATAAAGTGTTTTTCTGTGCATATCACTCACCACCACCACCAAACACCGCTCATCAAACTAACTTACGAATGGGTTTGCTTCTTCGAAGAGAGTCCCGGATTGGATAATTCAAACTGTAATTGTACACTGGTCATCGGTGTATCTGGAGTCTGATCGATTACATCCTTCATGAAGACAGCTACTCGACGTCGATTGAGCGCTTGCTGAGCAAATTGTTGAATCGGTCGAGCCTCGGTCAAGTCAAATAGCTCACATGGGGCACCTTTCATTCCGATCAGGGTGTAAATGGTACCCGCGTGAAAAACGTACAGATTAGCTGCCGTCAGACGAAATCCAATACGACCAGGTAAAAGTGTTTCCAAGGAGTTCGGCCTAGGTGGTTGTTGAATAAGCAGTCGCATTTGGTCTGTTTGGGCGTTCGAATTAAACAACAATTTGTTTGGGCGAATTTCCAGCCGGATGGGTTTTATGGTAACTGTCTGCGAGGGATTGTTCACTATATATTGAAGCCTTTCAAGATATGGATTCAACTCAGTGGTCCCATGCGATTGGCGTACCTTGAGCGCTTGCTCTACTGTATGAAGCAATGTTTGCTGATCAAACACGCGAACGAACTCCCCGGCGTCAAACAGATGCAATTCAATTACTTGCATATCCGTTTCTAGCATGTTCACACCATCGGATGCGACAAAAACCACTTGCCCACTGTTCACTTGGTACTGACTAAATACTCGGGCGGATTCATTGCCATTGGTTAATAACAATGTGCCCAGTTGACGTGAAGATCCCGGAGCCACACTAGACATGACCGTGTAGATCAAATGAGNAATGAGTCGGTTTTGTGTCCCTATCGGAAGAGAGCAATTGATGCGGTCCCAGTTGCCAGTCGGTTCCCGGAAGAATTTCCACCGGTCCTGTCTGTTCTAGGTGGGGCAGTGCTCGATGCTTTTTCGTTATTTTGACCGGAACAGTTACATAAATGACCGATTGTGGTTCTGAATTGGATCCGATAGCAAATATGTCACATTTGAACAATAGGCGAACTGTGTGTTCCAGTTGAGATTGACAGTCGCGAGCGGATAGGGCAATACGTCGAGTGGCAATATCCCGAAAAGTGATTTCGGTCACATTATCAAACGGGTTTTGTGCATCAACTAGAATCAATGAACAGGGCAAAGTTTTCACCGTTCCAATCATACTAGACACTCCGACTCCGCTCGGACGGAATTCGCCAACGAGAACAAACGTGGACGTTTGTGGATCGTGGGATGAACCTATCAGAGACTGAATTGATTCCGGATTCAGTTGGTCTGACTGAAGGAATGTGAACTCATTCAGATGAGCTTCTAGGCTTGGATACTCAAAGGATATTCGAACGGTGTCCACATGTGCACTTTGATCCATTTGCTGCTTGTACGTGAGGTCATCTGCACCTGGGGTAGGTAGGCAAAGAATGTTTTTTTCTTTTAAAATCAAGTAAGGTTTCCGAAAACAGTCTGTCCGAAAGCCATCCCTAATTTTTATGATTTTAGTTGCGTACAAAATGTACTCATTCCTTCAGCCCTACACAATTTTTCTTCGTTCGAGGGATGGTGAAATTTTGGCTCAGTTATGCGGTAAACTTTGTTAAGTACAAAGCAATAAAAATATGTATGACCGAAAACATGAACATGAATTGGTGTGACTTGACATTTCTTAGTAACGGCTGCCTAATGCGGGTGGGAGAGGGGAGGGACGGGAATAAGTCGGTGTGTATGAAATGGGACGGGGTCGTCGGCATGGTATGACTGTTTGATCGACGATTTTAGGCGGTCTGCAAGTAATTCGACTATATCTCCACCCTCGAATGGCAGCTGCGAGAAAATATTGCATTTCAGGAAGGGTGTTGGTAGTTCTTTTGGTTCGTATGAAGTGCAATGTTTTTTTTACAAACGCCTTTGAATAGGTATTCTATCCTCTATTCCAATTCATTAAAGGAAGATGTTATTTTTCGTGAGTACTTTTTAGCTACTGAAATTTATATAAGTAGTAAGTTGTTCAGTGACGGTAGAACGTTTGCAAATGGGACCATGCGGATCGTACCTTATTTCACTATCACCGAAAATAAATAAATAGTATGGTAAACATTTGCCTATAGACTTATATGTCAAATTTCTTATGTCTGGCTAAAAAGATAAAGAATAAATTAGAACTAGTTATCTCACGCTTTTATCTCCTGTGGATATGAGCTGCTCCCTATAATACAGGTTCAAGTGAGTCATTCTTTATTGAAGTTTGTTCTCTATAACCATCCTAGTAACATCGGAAATCACCAATTTAAGTTTATATTTTAGTAAAAAATCAAAAAATATTTTTTATTATGTGATGAATTTGTCGTGTAAATGAGGGGTAAGCATATATATATATATATAGGTGTTGACCAAACTCGTGTAACATCACCCTCATTTTGAAAATCCATTTCAGCTTGCAATAACATGGTTATATATAGATGACTATGAGTAAACTGTATTTATTCCCGACTTTATCTACAACATCTGTGTTCTTTGTTCATTGTTATCACCATTTGAATTTGCGCGACCTTGAGTGTCGCTATAAAATTTGCAGTAGTTCGAAAGTTACAGTTCTGATTTAGAAAATATTTTGGGTAAAGCAACATGGGAGCTTATCCTTTTTAACAGATGATTCCTGTTCTAT